GTTCGAAATTGTTGTCATCATTTTTCTTCTTTTCTTTTTTTTAACTAAATTAGTTGGTATTCTTACCTCTGCGATCGACTGCAGTCCACGATAGGGCTTCAGTTGGTTAACGCCATGACTCTTGGGCTTTCCGTAAGTGCAGCCCTTGGGCACTGGGCGTTTTCGGCCACCACGGCGCACACGGATTCTATAAATAACGAACCCTTGCTTGGCGCGGTATCCTAGACGTCTTGCCTTATCCGGGCGAGTAGGTCTGGGCGAACGATGTAGTTTAGTCAATTGACGGTATTGCCAAACGCGGATGCGCAACAGATATCGCATAACATCGCTTTGTTTCTTCCTATACAGTTCCTGCATATAGCGGTAGGCCCCCATCTTTGAAAATTGATAGACCTAGTAACAAATTCAGTTATTTAATAACAGTCACATCATTGGTCCATCAACTTATTCGACCGAATTGATTATTCATTTTGTTGTTTCCACGAATGTTTATTGATTCTACAATGTAGACGTTAAAATGTTAAAATTGTTTTTAAACTCGTGGTCGTATCCAAGTTTATTCAATACGATACTATTTAAAACCATTAAGATTAACAATGTTACACAAATATTCGTAAACAATTTAAGAGTTCAGACACTGATTCAGTCAAATTTTACAGATTTTTCAGCTTTGCCAAAAAACACAACCAACTTACGAGACGGTAAAATCCAAAAGGAAGTGAAAATTGTTTAACTGATGTGTCGATATCATTCAGAGGTGCTCTGTAAATCGTTATCGGACGTGCTGTCAAATATAGAAAATACGGCAGTAAATTTAAAATACCACGTTCGCACTTTAATCACATCCTAAACGATATTATTGCGATGAATTGTATAAATTCTTGAATATGAGAAATTAAATTAGCCCATGTTTATAGGGTCTTCCCACACAACATTGAAGCACATTCAACATCCGTTGAACAAACGGTCCGTAAGGTTTTGCCGTTCCGAATTTTCCCAAATGGACCGCCGTTAGATCAACATTAAAATCTAAACACGGTTTGTTTGGCGATAGTTAGGCGATAGTTTTTCGGTGCAACTCTGATTCTTCTTCTTAAATTGACCATTCACCACGAAAATGTAAACAAACTTGGCGAGGAACAAATGAGAAATGGAATTTAAAACGTGGCGCCAAAGCTACAAGCATGCCCAAAATAGATGTTGGCGTTTTTTCTGTATATTCTTGCCCCACTATGTCCCCAATTGTAACTATTTAATATAAATCGCCTACCTCTTTTGGATGCCTATACCACCTATAGACACTCTTCGGGGAATTTGCTCTTTGTTAGAGAAAAATCATTAGAAAAACTAAAATTCCTTGTCATTCATTTAAATTTATTTCTAAAATTTAACCACCATATGTTGGCGATAGTTAGGCGATAGTTTCTTCTTCTTAACAGTGCAAATTTGACAAGCATGCCTAAAATAGTTGTTGGTGTTTTTCGGTGTATTCTTGCCCCAAAATATCGCAAATTGCTATTATATTATATAACTACCTCTACTTTTTTTATAGATGTTGGAAGCCTATACTACCTGTACAAACTATTATATTTAATTTTATTTTAGTGCGGATGATATCTGACGCAATCTGGTTTTGCTGTTGTTAAAAAGCCGAAATAGTTGAAAAACTATTAATTTTACTCCCACATCGGCCACTTCAGCCATCACTGATCAGAGATGGATCAGTAATCAGTGTGGAGTGTTGTTTTTTTATAAACAAACTCGCTTATCCGTTTAACTCAAATAATAATATATATACGAATTGCGAAATTAGTAAATGCCCCCTTTCTAAGTTTAATATAATTTAAAATTAAAAAAAAAAAAAAACGATTCACTGACAATCGAATTATGTATTTGCATCTCTACCACACAGTCTATCTGTGTAAAACAGTTTCGATGTGAAAATACTCTTCCTACAGAGCTCAATCCACCTCGCACCATACCATGTCAGCTAATTGATCAAATATGGTTGAAGTGGGGGATATCAACAATTTTTCCTGTGACATAACCGTCAAAGCGCATCCACCGTCCGTTGAACAAACTGTTAATAAGATTTTGCCGTTCCGAATTTTCTCATTTTGGACCGGCATTAGAATGCATCTAAATCTAATGACCATTTGTTTGGCGCTGCAAATTTAGATGGACAACGGATGCGGTAAAAAAAGGGAAATTTCGGAACGGGAAATCCTTAGGGACCATCTGTTGAATGAACGGTGGATGCAGATGCACACTCGGTGGGAAGACCCTATAATACGGTTATGCCACAAAGACTCCATCTGCCTTCTACCAGCCGACATTTAATTTCCTGTAATGAAAAATATTCAGGTCTGCTCCGGTAATCGTAAAATTTTTTCGGTTTCATTTTGGGCGAAAACGAACCGTTTTCGATTTTAGCTGCTCCGGTTTTCGGCAAATTTCTGTTATCGGAATGTTTCATTTTCTCATCGTTTCTTACTGGTCAAACAGTTGACTTTTTTTTTTGGTAATAAGCAAACAACGTAAATTACTGCCTTTTATATTTTCTAAGCAAAAAATATGGAAAAAAAAAGCTACAGTTACAGGGTCTTCCCACACACCGTCAAAGCGCATCTACCGTCCGTTGAACAAACGGTCCATAAGGTTTTGCCGTTCCGAATTTTCTCAACTGGCCCTGCATCAAAGCGCATCTAAATGTAACGACCGTTTGTTTGGCGATAGTTAGGCGATAGTTTTTAGGTGCAACTCTGAAAATTTGACCAACACTACGAAAGTGTATACACACTTGGCGAGAAACAAATGAGATTTGTAATTTAAAATGTGGCGCCAAAGCTACAAGCATGCCCAAAATAGTTGTTGGCGTTTTTTCTGTATATTCTCGCCCCAATATGTCCCCAATTGTTACTATTTAATATAAACCGCCTGCCTCTACCTTATTTTGAAGATTTTGGATGCCTATACCACCTATAGACACTCTTCGGGGAATTTGCTCTTTGTTAGAGAAAAATCATTAGAAAAACTAAAATTCCTTGTCATTTAATTCATTTAAATTTAGTGCGGATAAATTCTGACGCAATCTGTGCCTTTTCCTGTTGTACAATAGCCAATATAGTTGGTAAATGCTCCATTTCAAATTTGCAACTGCCAATTCAACAGTCTTTGTTTACATTTTCATGAGCCACAGCTGATCGATCAGCTGTTCGGATGCCAGATGCGCTTTGACGGTGTGTGGGAACACGAGTTTCGCATCTGCGAAAAATCCCAAACGTTCCTTACAGATGCGCTGTGTGGGAAGACCGTATAAGCTGCTTGAGCGGAACGAAACGATGAGAAAATAAAACATTCCGATAGCATAAATTTGTCGAAAACCTATCACATTTTGAACATGTTTTTTAATTAATTTGAAGATGAAACATTAAACAAAAAATGTTGTAAGATATTGAGTTCCTTGGGAAATATATTTTAATAATATTATTAATTATAAACTTACAACGCCATAAATCGATGGTGAATAAAAAAAATCGAGGTATTGTGCTGCACAGTATAGCTGGAAGTATAACGATTTTCTGTGATACTGTCTTCCCACACAGCGCATTTGTGAGGAACGCTTGGGATTTAAAAAAAAAAAGTGAAACTCGTGTTCCCACACACCGTCAAAGCGCATTCACCATCCGAACAGCTGATCGATCAGCTGTGGCTCATGAAAACGTAGACAAAGACTTTCAAATTGGCAGTTGCAATTTTGAAATGGAGCATTTACCAACTATTTTGGCTGTTGTACAACCGCAAAAGCGCAGATTGCGTCAGAATTTATCCGCACTAAATTTAAATGAATTAAATGACAATGATTTTTAGCTTTTCTAATGATTTTTCTCTAACAAAGAGCAAATTCCCCGAAGAGTGTCTATAGGTGGTATAGGCATCCAAAATCTTTAAAATAAGGTAGAGGTAGGCGGTTTATATTAAATAGTAACAATTGGGGACATATTGGGGCAAGAATATACAGAAAAAACGCCAACAACTATTTTGGGCATGCTTGTAGCTTTGGCGCCACATTTCAAATTCCATTTCTCATTTGTTCCTCGCCAATTGTGTATACACTTTCATAGTGATGGTCAAATTTTCAGAGTTGCACCAAAAAACTATCGCCTAACTATCTCCAAACAAACCGTGGTTAGATTTTAATGTGTTCTAACGGCGGTCCATTTGGGAAAATTCGGAACGGCAAAGCCTTATGGACCGTTTGTTCAACGGACGGTGAATGCGCTTTGACGGTGTGTGGGAAGACACTTTGAATCAATTTTTTTTAAACTCCTCAAGAACATTGATTATAATCGAGTTAAATCGAAAACGGAAATAATTTAAATTATATATGAATTTACATAATGGATATATACAATTTTTGTATATTATAATACATCGATATTTATATTTAAATACGAACTTTTCCTATGTTCTTCACTTATTATATGATATATGTTTGTGGGGAAGACAACGGAGCTGCAGACTGTGTATGTAAAAGCTTGGCTTCAAAATATATAAATGTTTTATGAGCGTGCAAATGTAGTTTGGCTGATAGATAACGCGACAGCTTAGGCGAGATAAGAAAGAGCAGAAAGAGAAAACATAAAAGCGCTGCAGGTGCAGTGGTACACCTATGCGCGCGTGACTATGTGCTGGCGGTCTGCTCCGAACATAATATACATATGAATTAGTTTATAAATTATATTAAATTATATTTCATTGATTATTTACTTGATCATCTATTTTATTTCAGAATACTAAATTTTGGATTTTCGGGATTCCTTTACAAGCACAAATTATAAATAAAAATAATAAATCAAAAATCTTTTACTTTGCACTTAACTTTTGCTGAATTTACATACGTAGTACGTACGTAGTATAACTTTTTCCATCGATACCATGGATATTTTTAGTTTTTACAGCTCTACTCCAGTGGGGACGGTGCATTATAAGTTTAGAATACAATGCTCTTCTTATCATCGATTCCAGTGAACAAAAAGATAAACATTTGACTCTTATTAGTGTCTAACGAAAGTAATTTAGTTTGACTGTTTCTAAAAAGGCAATTTAAAAAAATGAAGTCTGAGGAGAAGTTTATTGAAGAAAAGATTGGAAAACGTTTGGATTCCTGTATTTCAGATACGTTAATTAAAGGATGTAAGTAAATCGAATTATGTAAGCGGCAGTCGTTGCATATTAGGTTTTAGAAAAAATATTTGTAATCATTCTGTTTAGTGAAATAGCCTGAAAACTTAAAATATATTCATTCATATGAGATTTTTAATCCATTTATGTATGTACATAAGTTGTACATTCTAAAATACAGTGGCTCACACCTTATTTCGTGCAGATGTAAACTTGAAACTAAAACTGTATAGTTGACGAACTACACTAGTCGGCACAATTATTTTATAAATTAACCTCTGAATTTTTCATTACAATTTGCTTCTACAACTTTTTAAGTCATCTCGGCCTCAGATTTACCAAATTTTGAAGGATCTTTAAGGATATCTCTTCCCGAAGGGAAATTACCTTAGATATGGTCTCTTTTTGGGTTTTTTTCAACGAATTCTTTTATTTTGAGTTTTAAAAGGGGCCACTTGATCTTAATAATATTTGAGTCTGGACTTTGGAGCAGCCAGTTCAAGATGGTAACGCCAACATTTTTTAAACAACTGATAACAATATGGGTTTTGTGGCATGGAGCATTATCCTGTTGCAGAATAAATGATGATAATTGTTTTGCCTTTCTTTCCAGAGATAGCAAAGGATAGGCTTAAGCATTCAGAGCCTGCAAATATTTTCCTTGGTTCATCAAAACGGTTGTGGAAAGTAAAAACCAGTGGTATAGATGCCCACTATATGCAACGCATATAAACAGCGAGACAAAAACCTTCTCCATGGTTCACTTTTTGTCACTTTTGACACTTATGGCTTTTGTACTTTAAAAATATGAAGACTTTGTTTTTTGACTAGTTGTATGCAAAGATGCAAATGAGTTGAAAAACAGTGCATTTTTTTTTTTTTTTTAATTTTACGATTGTTCTTATGGCAGCTATATGAAATAGTTATCAGATCCGGCCCTTCCGAAGACTATCTGCAAAGTTTTATTCAGAAATCTTAAAAACTGTAAGGACATGCGTAAAAACGAAGGGACATGGCTAGATCTAATCGGCTGTTGATGCTGATCGAGAATATATATACTTTATAGGGTCCGAACTCTTTCACTTCGTTGCAACTTTCTGACTAAAATTGTAATACCCTGCAACGGTGTAACAAGGTCCTTGAATTTTAAGGTGTTTTTCGCAAGGGAAAGTAGTTTGCCTGGCTTCCTGGAGGCATATTCTAACGATGCCAGAACCGGAGAGCCTAGGTATCTCATCCTTGCCCTCGTTAGGGCAAGGTTTCGGTTGCCTCGGATTCGTCACATTTCCGGCATTTGGCGTTGGTGATATCCAGCTTGACTGCATGTGCAGCAGACAGGCAGTGACCTGTTAGAATTCCCACTAACATTCTGCAATCCTTCTGTGGAAGATGCAGTATGCATTACAAGGTTACAAAATAAATTTAGAGGCTTCCAGAAACATAGGTGCCGAAATACTTCGACGATGACTCTAGAAATGCATAGTTATTGTTTACCTCTTTATTTCGGTGTGACCGTTATTAAAAAAAATAATCAGAAAAATAACAGGTATAGCTGTCTTTTTCGAGCATCTAATAAAAACTCCAATAAAAAACATTAAAATAAGTTGTTACTTTTTACACAATTCAGCTAAAGCTGCAAATCAATTAAATCAATATAAGCGTTATTACTGGCTAGTTTGAGTAGTTTTAGTTTTACCAATACGTGGAGGTCAGCCAATTAGTTACATTAAGAGTGGGAATTTGTTGTTCTTTATTAAGGGTCCATTCTGGTTAGTTGGAAAAAAAATCCTTTTTTTTTTTTTTTTTGTTGCATTTTTCGATAGCTTTAAGTGTGTAAAATATCATACTGAAAGGGCAAATCGAAATACGTAATAGTTTAAGAGTTATGAGCCTCCGAACAGGCCGACTCAAAGCAGCTACAGCTAAGGTTAATTCGGTGCAAAAATGCCCCCTTTTCAATAAAATGTTGTGGCGAAACGGCTAAAGTTAGCTTAACAAATTAAAAACCATATAATAACACAACACTTGAACAGTTTTTAATAAATTTTGTATTGAAAAATATTTAGAGGTAGAGGAGTTATCTCCCGAGTCGCCTCCAAAAAAAGTTGGTTTGCGGTGTACATCCTAACTGTCCTCAGAATCATCAGATCTACAAAAATTATGCCTCATTCGTTAAAGGATAAGTGTCCCGAGGTATTCACGAAGCGTTTTTATTTTTAAAATTTTTTCCCCAATTTTTATCAAAATTTGAAGTCAAAACCCCCAATTTTGACTAAAAAATTAAGTTAATTTGTTAAATAAAAAATATAAGAAAATTAAAAAAAGCTCTACGTGAATACCTGTAGAATTATCTAAAGAAGTTATGTTCCAAATTTCAAACCGATTGGTTCAGTAGATTTTGAGTTATCGTGTACACCGATTTTCAAAATGGCATTTTTCAGGAGAGCGCTTTAAACTTTGCGATGCTCATGCATTGAACACCAACCGACCTTCGTTCAACTCCGCATAACTTCGTCAATATTCCTATGATCGATGTAAAACTTGGACACAATATTCTTAAGATGTTGAACTTTCAAAATAAAATATAAAAAAAAAAATTTACGAAAAAAAAATTAAATACCTTACCCCCCCCTTAAACATTTGATTTTTAATCAACAAAAAAGTGAAGAAATTTTTCGAAAACAATTTTTTGAGGCGCCGCCATTTTTTTATTTTTTATTCAATTTTAAAAAAAAGTAGCCTATTCCATAACCACATTCATTCTAAACAAGAACTTTTTAAAATTTTTTGTTTCATTCGATTTTTACGTCCTGCAGAATGGTCGCCAGAGGGGTGCCTTTTTTGGGCATGGGTTTACGTCGCCCTGTGTCCTGCTTCAGGACATGCTCTAAAAATGTTTGAAAATTTTGCTAAATAATCTTTAAACTATGATAAATATGTGTGACAAGTTTGAACTCTCTATCTCTTTTCCTTTGTCCACAAAAAATTTCTGAAAATGGCCTATTTTTTGGCCCAACTAACCAAAATGGACCCTTAAGGTACGCCTGCAAGACTTAAATTTTTTCTGTAATATACATTGAGATTTGTAGAAAATAGTCAAGCAATTGTCGTGAAACTTTAGAGATAGTTAAAAGGGGAATCGGAGATGATAAAAAATGTGTTTTAAACAATATTTTACAAAAGGCCGACCTATGGAATATATGCCCCAGCCCCTCGATCTTTGAGTTTTCCCTCTGTAAACAGATACGGCTCATAATTCGTATCAAAAATCCGATTTGAACCCAAAAGAAATTTAAAAAAAAAAAAATCAGAAAATTATGAGTTCACTTCCAACCCCTATTAAAAATAATCAGGCCTGCTCCGGTAATCGAAAACGACAAGATTTTTTCGTTTTTAAAAACTGTTTTCGAAAACGAAAGATTTTTTCGATTTGAAAAACGGGCATCTTTTTCTGGCCGAAATGAAAAGTAAATGGCTTTTTTTTTTTATATGAAATCAGATCTTATTTACAAAATGAAAAAAATATTTTAGTCAGTGGTCTGTTGATGTTTATTCCACACCACCACAATATCATTCTGGCAGGTAGTTATTTTATAAAAAATTTATTTCTGACCCCATCTCAGATTTGACAACAAAATTTTTGCCCTGTTCAACAAGTTCTCTCGTTTTGGCGATAGGTCGATAAGTCCATAGCAAAAAGTTATCGCCAAGGTTGCCATATTGTTTGTGGATCGAAACAGCCAGTTAAAAATACTTATAAAATATAATTGAATACATTAATGACTTTAAAGGATAGTCAAAATTGTTTATAAATAATGCTATTTAATTTGATGGCTTAAATGGTCAAAGTTGACCAAATAATTAATTGAGACCACCGGCATTAAAACTGTGAAAAATGTGGCAGCATCTTAAATGCCTAGATTTGCTTAACTCCATAATTTTTTGCCTTTTCCCGGCTTCAAAATAAGCAATAGTAAATATAAAAGGCAGTTCTTCGCGTTGTTTGATTTTTACTGAAAAATCAAGTCAGCTTCTTGAGCAATAAGAAACAATGAGAAAACGAAACATTTCGATAGCAAACATTTTTCGAAAAACGGAGCAGCTAAAAACGAAATCGTACGATTTCGCCCAAAACGAAAACGAAAATGTTACGATTACCGGAGCAGGCCTAAATAACTCATTTTTTTACCCACATTCGGGCTCAAAAAAATGTTTATTTCATACTGATGGAACAAGTTTTTGATTCACTCTGATGTGGAAATGCAGTTTTTTTTACGTTTTTGATGCTTGCGTTATCACTTGTATACTTTGCGTACTTACTTTATCTGAGGTACTTAATAAATAAATTATTTTTTTAACATAAAAAAGAATTTTCCCATAAAATTTTGGTTTAAATGTACAATCCCCCTTAACAGTTTATGTTGACTTTTACGAAACAATGCTCACTTTAAAATCTTGATAACAAATGGAAACATTGCCACAAATTTCAACACATATGACAAAAAAAAACGTGCAGAAAACATTTTTAATAACAAGCTAAAGTCAAATATTATATATAAAACCAAATCGATTTTTATGCTCACAAAAGAATTCGTTTCTGACAAATTTTTTTTATTTATTTATTTTTTCATGGGTTAGTCCAATTTTTTAAGGATGCTGGTTGAGATAACATTTTAAAATTTAATTCATAGAAAAACACAACACTAAAGCGTCATTGTGGGTGATAATCAATTACCAAATGCCGAAAGTTACGGAGTCAAAACATTTTCCAGAAGAAAATTATTTTACAGCCACCCAATGAGGATTGATCCCATGGTTGATCCCGTATACAGTAATTGACTATCGGGGAAGATAGGGAAATTAAAAAAAAACAAACAGGAAAAAATACATTTATAGGCTGCAAAAATTAACACCGCCATTAACACATCCTTAGGAACAAATGTATCCACTTAAACTATTGGAACAGTTCATAGTTAAACAAAAAAGGAAGCTAACTTCGGCACGCCGAAGTTTGTATACCCTTGCAGATTGGTTTTCATATTTATATTATAAATAATAATGCCGAAAACAGATCTAAACAGAGTATCATAACATTTTACCTATGCTTATTATGTTTACAGTTTAACAGTTACAGTTTTGCATTTCCAGCTTTACATTTTCTCTACATCTGCGGATCGCTTCTATGGCATCATATAGCTGCCATAGTTGTCCGATTTTTATAATATTGTTACCAAAATTCTGAAATAATACTAAAAGCTCATGTCTCAAAGTAGATGAAAATACGTTGAAAAACAACGAAGTTATAATTTTTTCTATTACTTTCCCTATCGTTCCTATGGCAGCTATAAGATATAGTCGTCCGATTTTCATAAAATTTATACCAAAATTCTGAAATAGTACCAGAAGCTCATGTACCAATTGAGATTAAAATACGTTGAAAAACAATGAAGTTATAATTTTTTTTTCGATTAATTTCGCGATCGTTTCTATGGCAGCTATAAGATATAAATTTAAATCATAAAATTTTTAACAAAATTCTGGAATAATATAAAATGGCTACATCTCAAAAATGATGGAATAATATTGAAAAACAGCCAAGTTATAATTTTTTTTCTAAAAATTTATCGAACATTTGTATGGCAGCTATATGATATAGTCGTCCTATCCGGCCCGGTTCCGACATATATAGCAGTGAGAGTATATAGAAGACTATATGCCAGCACTCTGACGGCGAAAATGATACCTGCTAAAATTAAATGGCGTTACCAGATCAAGACGGCTGATATCGTGCTGTATAAAGAGTTTATTTGATTTATTCATACACCCCTAATGGAGGGAAAGTTGAAGGAAAAAGTGCCATTGATAGGGGCTGTCAAGGCGAAGCCCATAGTATGGAATTTAACCCACAAAGGACTTTTTAATGTCATATTTATTAATATTTTCAAATTTTGTTGTTTACAAACAGATGTCCAGTGTGAGCAAAGAAAATCCTTAAGCCTAGTACTCTGACGACGAAATTCCGCTGTCTAAATTAATAGTATTACTATTTTATAAGAGGGTGGGAAAAGAAAACTGATCCCTTTTAAATGGCATTTGTCTTGATTTCTTTTTGGTTTTTTAGGTTCAAATAGAAGATACAGTTGTAATGAATACAACAAAAATTAGTTTACAACTCAAAGCTCGAGGCGCTACGGCATATGTTCCATAGGGTCGCCAAAGTTTCACGAAGATTCCTTGACTATTTCCTACATTAAAAAATTCACGAAAAATGTCTAAATTTTGACCGTTTACAAGTATATCCCCCCTTAAGCTGCTTTATTGCGCATCCAATAATAGCTGATCGATCAGCTGTGGCTCATGAAAACGCAATCAATGATGGCTGAAGCGGCAGATGTGGGAAATTTTGGGGCAAGAATATACAAAAAAACACCAACAATTATTTTGTGCATGTTTGTATCTTTGCCGCCCCATTTTAAATTTCATTTTTCAATTGTTCCTCGCCAACTTTGTTTACATCTTCGTAGTGTTGGTCAAATTTTCACTGTTAAGAAGAAGAAATCAGAGTTGCACTGAAAAACTATCGCCTAACTATCGTCTAGGAATCCGTGGTTAGATTTAGATGCGTTTTAAATTTGGCACGGCAAAACCTTATGGACCGTTTGCTCAACGAACGGTGGATGCGCTTTGACGGTGTGTGGGAAGACCCTATGAAGGTGATTTTTGCTAGTACATATGCATAAGTATAGTAGTTGCCACTACCTGGGCGTAAAATATTTAAAATTATGTCAAATATTTTAGTCTTACTAAATATTATAAATTCAAAGAACAAATAAATTCTTTTTACTTTTTCAGGTGGAGGGCTTCTTATTGGATCTGCGATGTCTCTATTATTTTTTAAGCGACGTGCGTGGCCTGCATGGCTTGGCGCTGGGTTTGGCATCGGTGTTGCGTACAGGACTTGTGAGAAGGATATAAATGTTTTGAAGTGATGAACAAAATAAATAAATAAACAAACACAAATTGTTGCGATAAAAGAATATGTGTTTAACGATTAACGATTATTGGGTGGTGTGGGGTAAACAACAGAGGTCTAACGTAAGGATTTTTTCTTTAAGAATATGTATACCGGCAGAATATGTAGACCCGCAATGGTGGAAAACTAAACTGTTATTGTTCAATTAATTTTGGGAATGCGACATAAAACTAACAAAATAACAATGGAGAAGATCTCTATTTCAAATTATGGCGGGCGCGGGAAAGATAGGAAGTACGGGCACACTGTCACCGGGTGGCAACGCCAGTGAAAACAGCGCGTCCAGCCCTGAACAGCTGACAATAATCGATAGATATGGACACGGGTAATGCATTGCTGCTTGCCCCGTCCGCGATAATACAGTGTCTAGCAAAGGCCACGGTTCAACTCCGTCTATCCTAAAAAGCCTAAGGAAGTGAGCCGTTAGCCATGGGTGGAGGTGCCGGACGGAAGGCATAAAACGCAAGTGGGTGGTACCCCTGGAAAAGAAACCATTCTGGAGTGTTTAAAGGAAGAAACCAGGGCTGGGATGTCAGCTCAAACGTGGAAGGCGTGACCGCTACCACCGGCGGGCACGGGGGGGAGCAATCCTCTCTGCGTGTCGCCAGCGTTTACACCTCTGATGTGACGGGAGCAGGTCATGTCAGATGCAACGCTACTGCCGAAAAAACTACGCAGGGGAAGTTGAGCCGCTCACGTGCCATAGTCGATACAGACTCGGACCTTGAGAGCGTGCAGCTTCTCCACTCACCGAAACCAGGCACCAGCTCCCAGCGCAGGGACTGGCCAAAGCGGTCAAGCGAGGGAATGAAGGCCAAGGCGCTGTACAAGGCTGCCCTCCGCATCCAGGATCGGCTCCAGGAAAAGGCCGCCCTATCCCCAGAGCAGAAGTCAAAGCTTACCTGGGCTGAGGAGAAAATCGCTCAGGGGAGGCTTCACTTCGCCAAACTCCCCCACATGAGATCGACTGGCGGATTCGCCAACAAGGTGGAGGAGACGCTTCCCAACAAAAGGCAACGCTCAACCGAAAGAGCCTCTATGGACGCACCGGGGAGCAAGCGGCAACGCGGGCCTAAGGAGGATGCAGGCCATCCCCAAATGGCGAAAAAGCCCAAAAAAAACCGCAAAAGTCAGTGAGGTGACAGAAGCGATGAAGCCGGCAAAATTACCGAGGCGCAGTGGAAGATGGTGCATGCGCGGCTCGTTGAGTCATTGTACGCACGGATGGAGGATGATCCCGAAGCTCCCATGCCCACCTTCGATGGCGCTGGGTGACTAAATGGAGTCAAAATCCTAAAGTGCATGGATGACCCGACGAGAAAGTGGCTGACGCAAGCGGTCTGCCAGTTTGAGGCGCTGTGGGAGGGAGCCAAGCTAGAGGTGGTGGACCGGGAGCTAATCCCATCCACTCCAAAAGCGAAGGTACTCTTCCCCATCGCAATCCAAGCGGACCGGGCGCTGAAGCTGCTGCAGCGTCAGAACCCGGATATCCCAACCGCGGACTGGAAGGTTCTGCACGTTGCGGCCCCATCACCCAAGGAGGGGGGGCAAAGTGCAGTCCTCAAGATAAACAAGGAGGCAGAGGACATCCTTTATCCCAGATACGGGAAGATGGCGTGGGGCATGGGTAGCGTATACCTGCGCCTTAAAAAGCGTCACCCCGGGGATAAGGATGCTCACACCCTGAAGGCAGATGTGGTGGAGAAGGACCTAGATCTGGAAACCATCGTGGATGCCGACCGGGAAATGACGCTGGATGAGTCCGACGAAGGAGCCGTAGTAGTCAACCCGTCGTATGGAGGTGAGGCCAGTACCCATGACACTCAGGGTGCTGCAGCTCAACCTCCATTAGAGCAAGGTCGCGTCGGCGGAACTCCTCATAGCCATGGAGCAAGGATCCGCCGACATAGCTTTGGTCCAGGATCGCCTCAGGCAATGCCATCGCCGGACTGAAATCCGCAAGTTACAATTTTCTCCATCCACCAACGGTAAGCAGGAATAGAACCGCAGTACTTGTACGGAAGGGTCTACACGCTAACCTTATGTCTCACTACAGTTCTGATGACTTGACCATGGTGATGCTAGAGAGCGGAAAAAAGCGCCTTTTGGTAGCTTCCTGCTACATGGCACACGACATGACGGCCCCACCAGAAGAACTCATGAGCTTGGTAGAAGCCAGCCCGAAGGACCAGCAACTGCTCGTGGGTGCAGATACGCACCACTGCGTATGGGGGAGCCCCGACATAAACGACAGAGGTGAGTCCCTCTTAGACTTCATACTCTCAACCAACCTTAGTATAGCAAACGTGCTAGATTTTACTCTTGTAAGGGGACAAGGTACTTTGGTATCAGAATGGAGAGTCCTTGAGAGACTATCCGTCTCAGATCATAAGTACATACGGTTCCAATACGCATTCGAACACTCTCCAAAACAATCAGTCTTCAGGAACCCCCGGAATACTAACTGGGGAAAGTTCAAGGAGACTATCGTGACACGGCTCGCGATCTCTCCGGGCATAGTAGAATCCGCGGAAGACATAGAAAAGTCCCTAGAGACCCTCTCCAAAGAACTGCTGGATGCGTACCACGCATCATGCCCTATATCGGACACGAGAAAGAGGACCAGGCCACCCTGGTGGAATAAGGACCTTTCACTCCGACGCAAAAAACTCAAAGAATTCTTCAAAGTCGCCAAGCAGGCGAAAGATGACATCATCAATGAGGATACAAAGTCCTACTTAGGGGCTACAAGAAAGAAATACTCAAGGCGCAGAGAAACTCATGGAGAAACTTCTGCTCCAATATAGAGACTGCCCCGGAAACGGCTAGACTCCGGAAGCTGCTTTCGAAGCAGCCAACCATACAGAATCAGCTCAAACGCGACGATGGACAGTGGGTTGACGGCAGCGAAGAGGCCCCAACAGCACTAATGCACGCGCATTTCCCAGGATGCACTGAGGTGCCCGATGCAAATAAGCACCAGGACCTAACAACTGGAGTAGAGCATCTTCCAAAAGATCTAATATCCTCTAGTAGAATCCACTGGGCTATAGACTCCTTTGCGAGGATAAAAGCACAAGGACTAGATGGAATATTCCCAGCCATGCTGCAGGCGACCAAGAAAGTGATCACCCCATGGCTCTACGCAATATACACAGCTTGTTAAAGCACGGGCTATATCCCTATCCAATGGAGGACCTCTCGGATTGTCTTCCTGCCCGAAGCAGGAAAGTGCAGCCACATGAGCCCCAAGGATTACAGATCGATAAGCCTCACCTTAAAACTCTGGAAAAGCTGCTAGACCTATACATCAGGAACGATGTAGGGAGACAACTGTTGACCAACCAGCACGCCTACACGAAGGAGAAATCAGTGGAGACGACACTACATTCGTTGGTAGCCACCATTGAGAGAGCCCTACACAATACGGAATATGCACTCGGAGTGTTCGTGGACATATCCGGGGCATTCAACAACGTTAGCACGGACGCAATAATGAATCGCCTAGAAGCGACCAACTTGTCCCCCGCTATCAATTTGTGGTACAATCAGATTGGGGCACCGCTTTCATGTTGAGAGGAGCGCACAGAGGCACACCGCAAGGTGGGGTTCTGTCGCCCCTCCTATGGAATCTGGTGGTAGACGACCTAATCAAGAGATTCGAGAAAGCACCAAAGATAACAGCTTATGCGGATGATTTCAGCATAATTATCACGGGAATCTGTCCATCGACAGATCATGGAAACAACGCTCAGAAATATATGTGAGTGGGCGGAGAAGGTAGGACTTAATATCCATGCGGATAAGACGGACACCAAGAGATACAAGGTGCCGCAATGGATCCCCCCCAAAATTAACAAAACCAGGCTGACCCCGAAAACACAAGTCGAATACCTCGGCATTGTACTTGACAGCAAGATGACGTGGAAGGCCAATGTGGTAGAGAGGGCGAAAAAGGTCACCATAGCGCTATATGCATCCAAAAAGATGCTTAGCAGCACATGGGACCTCTCACCCTCTCTAATGCATTGGGTCTACCGGTGGTGCGTCAGACTCTGCTGTATCGAGTCTTAGTGTGGTGGCAAGAAAACGTGTGGTGGGAGAAGAAAACGTTTAATAAGCTTATGGAGAGAACCCAGCGGCTGGCACTGATCTGCATATCAGGAGCGCTGAGGTCGACACCTACCAAAGCACTCGAAACCATAATCGCAACTAACAGCAGAATAGGCGTCACAACGTCTGGTTGCATCAGGAAACTGGTCGCTACAAGGATTCGGGCACAGTTCAATTGGTCGACACATGAGCAGTACATCTGACTAGATGACACCCAAAACGTGCCCGGATGTAAACAGAACAGTATTCATGGGACCAAATGACTGGAAGTCAGGCCAGGACCATGCTCAATACCTCAATATATACACCGACGGCTCCAAGATGGATGGAGGAGTTGGAGCGGGCATATACTGTTCAGACCCTGAAATGAGGCTGTCGTATAAGCTACCCAGCTACTGCAGTATATTCAAGGCGGAAGTATTCGCCATCAGGAATGCAGCAGAGTTTGCGCAGAGCATAAACCGTCCACATGAGGCGGTCAATTTGTTCGTAGACAGTCAAGCGGCGATAAGATCCATGCAATTATCAGCGGTCAGTTCCAAAAATGTACTGGCAGTCAGGAAGTCACTAGATAGCCTAAACACGACTAAGGCAGTGAGGATCTACAGGGTACCCAGCCACCGAGGCATAGACGGTGAAGAGACCGCGGACGAACTTGTTGAACTTGCAGTCAAGCTGGGTATTACCGACAACACCAAATGCCGGAAATGTGATGTACCCGAGGCAATCGAAACCTTGGAGCATCTCATTTGCAAATGTCCGGCCCTAACGAGGGCAAGAATGAGATACACTTGCTCTCATATCTCTGCGTACAGGACAATAAAAAATCATAACATTGACTTTAATGTCAAATAACTCTGCAAATATTTTGTACTGCGAATCAAAAAT